TCATCTTTGGCAGCTCCAATAATTTTTCTGGCAAGTCCATCCTTGCAAACTGGTTCAAACTTGACCCTCAGATGGAAGGCTGGACTGACTGAAGTGCCTTCTTTGTTAGTGGCTTCGCAGGCGTACCTACCGGAACTCGCTCTGCTAACACCCTGAAAAATATAATATTGTCATAATTATTCCACCATTTTATTTTGTACTTGTCATATATTTAACCTTTCCGGGACCGTGCGGGGTATTTTAGGTACCCCAGATGAAAGGAATTTATTACGAGTAGAAAAAATATTGTGCTGGGTTGGCGTTTGTTTCTATGTAATTTGACAAATAAATAAAGCTGTCTCTTTACTTGTCAGTTTTGAGTCAATATTTTTTAATTCTCTTTGGTGTCGATTGCTGATTGAATTGGAGCCAGAAATGGCTCAAAACGAAATAAGTAAATTACCGACAGATATTCAGGCTGACGCGACAAACGCCATATTCAAACTACTTCCATTTAAATCCCGAATAACTTATGAAAAGGAATAGAAAATTTTTCAAAAATGAAAACAATTCAAAAACGTGCGAGAAGAAATAAAGTTTTTTACCTGTCCTCGCTGTTAAAGTATTATTTAATCTACTCTTGCGGATAAAGTACTATTTTATCCACTATTTTTGATAGATATAAGGCAATTTTAACAGTTTCTATGGAAAAAAGTATTAAAATTATTACTTGGCGATTCAGTTAATGCATAAAAGTGTTTGATTAATTATTGAAAAGCATTAAAAAGAGCATTTGCATTAAGTTCCTTAATGGATCGATAAGCCTTTTGTAGAACGGAAAAGCCGTTATAAAACATGTTACGACTTAATCAAACCAATTAATTATCGTTTTAAATTAAAGTAGTAAAAGTTTAATTATGTCTTTCTGAAGAATAATGCCTAATACAAGATAAAATATGTGCTATTAAAACTTTCATATAAGTGCGTTGATCCTTCATTAAACTTATTATTGAAAGAGTATTATAATTTAAGTATATAATTATATTTTATTGGAAAAATATAGGTAATGAAGGTTATAATGACATTATTTTTACTAGGTTGTGATTGTGATTAAATAAATATCTGTAGCTCCTAGAATAAAAAAAACTTGGGAATTTTGTTAAAGTGTAAACCTAAAGTATGTTCTAGGATGTATTTCAGGAAGATATTTTAATTTCTATAGGGTGGCTCAAAAAAGCGTGAGTGGAACGGGATATTTTTTTTTAAACGGAACATCCTGTATATTATTGCAGTTTTGGCTTCCTTTCAGATAGTGATGACGCTTTGGAACAGGATTTTCGAAACAGGTTTGTTTTGGAACTGGCTTGGAACAGGTTTATGTGCTATCCTATATCAGTTCCAGTTCCAACTGTTCCAGCTGTTTCAAAACACTGCAACTTAAATTAAATACTTAAAGAAATAAATTCTTGGAATTGTTTAAATTATGTTATCTACTATATTTGTGATACTAGATTCTTAATAGTGTATTTTTCAAAATTAGATAATTATATATTATATTGCATTTGGCAACATCGCCAGTACGTTTTATTGATGGCAAGAAATTATATTCGCCTATTCTGTTTACATTAAAAAAACTCAATGTTTTTGAAAAGTTTATATTTTTCGAAAATTTGATAGTCTTTTTTTTAATGTTTAGTTAAAAAACATTATATCTTGGTAATATAGCAACATAGACAGTAGATTAAATTTAGAGAAAACAGAAAAAATCTCGTTTTACAACGCCCATTATCAAAATTCGAGATGATCATCATTTTCGTCATTTGCTTCACACTAAACGGAAACTAACGATTTTCCTAAAGCCCATATTCGAGCTAATTGCCGACTTACGTCTTTCTGTCGTATTTCCACGATCGTAATTTCACGATTTCCAGCCATAATTACCGATAGAAATATCCATACATTAGCCAGACGGAGATACGCGACGTTGTGCCTCAAATTACGGATATAAATCATGGGCACAAAGTGCCTAGAGACCCTGAATTATAAAATAATTAATCGAGGAACTCCATTAAAAAATCGATATAGTGGAAATAAATAACTGTATCGATTTTATACTGTAATAGTTTGAAGAATTATAATAATAATTATTAATATTTATTATCCCTCTAGCAGTATTATTTCTTTAATCTACGACAATGTCATTATGACACATTTAACATTTGTCATTTGGATGTTATTATCAGGGGGTGACAGTGAAATAGGAAAATTGTAAACAGTCATTAGTGTCATTCCTGTCATCTCCTGACGACAAGTATGCCTTGCCTAGACAAGGACAACAATGTTTCTGTCTAACTATTGTCTAACTAAAGCAAAAAAAAGATACCTAAATACGTTTATTTATTGTAAACATTAATTATAATATCAGTACAATTGGTTAAATTAGTTCCAGACGATGACAGGTGAGTTGAATTTTTAGAAAGTAAATTTATTTCCTGAGTGCTTGAACTTGTTGAAGACTCATCATTGCCAGAAATGTTACCCAAAATGTTACATGACACTTTTTTCTTATTTTCTTTGCAATTTTCTATATTCTGCCACTGTGTTAGAGCGCCAACCACCATTTGTCTTTTAGCAGTTAATAAATTCACTCCTGAATTTGCAAGCAACGACGCAGACGATCTACGGAAACAATGTCCAGTGTATTGTTGTGGATTTGGAAGGCTTAGGAACAATGTTATTTTATCGGCATTTTCCCTAAAGTATTAATGCCAACGGGTTGCTTAATATATTTTCCATTTCTGTAGCCTACAAAAAATCGAGTATTCTTTGTGTTCCTTGGCCGCATAGCTATATATCTTCGAACCATTTCCACCATATTTATTCCTTCAACATTCCCTTTCGTTATAAAAAATCTCGTGATAACTTTGTTTTCGTAAATGGAATAATGACATGAATGCATTGTCCTTCATCTTTAACATCTTTGCAGCTGCAGATTTGTCAACTCGATACGCCGGCAGGCTCCCCGCAAGTCCCACTATCAATGAAACTTTGTCGGGAAATAAGTTTTTCATCGACTTCAAAAAAAAAACGAGTTATGTCTTCTTTTCTTAAAATTCTCGATTTTTTTGACCGAAATCCTTCCGATTTTCTTTTTAGAAATGCAATTAAATGGACGTACTTACTAATATCTGTATTTTTCTTCACTGATATAACTGAACGTAGCATGGAATAATATACCCAAAGTGATGAAGCCTTCCTATATTTTGAAAGATGTTCAAAATATGTCAGGAGAACCTTTTCGTTACTACTATTCCTGATTCCTTTCCCTTTAGACCAATCTTCAAGTTTTACATAGGCTTGCTCGTACGTTTGTCTTGATTTTTCGGGAAGTAGGGAATCGACAACGTTTTGCGCAATGCCTTCAATATCCGCAGGGACACTTTCAGAATCAGAATCACCCATATTAATATTATTTTTTGCTTTTTGCTAAAACTGAACGTTTAACACAAAATTGAACATCAATAATGGAGTTGTCAAAGTCAAAATGGAAACAATCAACAAGCACGGTTACTACGACTAATATGGGCACCTCATAATTTTGAATTTTTATGAGGATATCTCTGATATTTTAAATTAAATCAAATCTCTTTGGATCGTCTCTCGTGTCGCGTCGTAGATTAAATTTTGAATGATACACGTTCGATACGAACTTTTTAATGAAACTTGTGTATCTTAACGTTACACGCGTTTCATTATGATGTTCGTATCGAACTTGTATCATTAATACCTATTATCCAACAGCCACTACTTTTGCAAACATTACTCACATGTATACATGCATATAAAATAAATAATAACACAAAGCTGAAGTTTTTGAAGTTTTCTGTTTTGCATTTTAACTATCTAGAACGAAACCAGACCATTAAAACTGTTTTTCCGTTTAAAATTAGTGAAACACGAACCACGAAATACCGAATTTCTCCACCATTTCGAAACAACAATTAAAAAAATGGGCGAAATTTAAAACTGCAAGACGGGCACTGCAATGCAAGCGAAAAAAGCTAGAATTAAAGCAGTCTGCAACGGCTACTCTTTTTCCTGTGCTGCCCCAATTGCTGACTTTAACAAGAACACTAATGAAGGGAGTTAGAGTGCTTTTGCTGTAAGGAGTAAAATTACGTATTAGGTTACTGTGAACTGGCCTCTAAACGTTTTAATAGTTCTGAGGATGTGGGCGAAGTATATTTCGAAAAATATTTTTGTTAAAATCAATACAGTCTTTTTTTTAAAGACAAAAATAATAAAAATCTTAAAAAATCGTAACACCAAAATTACAGTAGCTAGGGAAACGCGGTTTTCAATTTAGGATTAGGAAAAATATTTGCAAGAAAATTTGTAATAACATCAAAATCCGTGTGGAGAACTCCAAACTCCCATCGGACGCGACCCCAGGTGGCGGATAGGGGAAATAACCGCGGACCAAAATTGAAAAAATTCCTTTTTTTGAAACTAAAAGAACTGCCTACCAACTTCTTATTAACATATTTTAGTATGGGCGGCTATACGTGCCTCCGGGCTCCAATTTTTATTTTTTGTAAAATTACTTATATTTTTTTTTCAGTGTAGGCATTCTTTGACCAACTTCATCAACAAAGATATCTATTTCTTGTTTCTGATCCTATCTACACACACCGGAAAAATCTAGGGATATCATTTTATTAAAGTTAAAAATAAATGTTTTGAATAAACAACCACATATTTTTAGGCCGATTCTTTCTACTTCGACTGAAACGAAGTAGTCACACTAGTTATTTCTAAATTTGGGATATTTGCAGAAGTGTTTGTGTATTTTTTGTCAAATGTATAAAAAGCACCTAGCATCAATTGTTCGAATTTAACC